TTTGAGTATTCATTTTCTCATTTATGCTATTCATCTCTGCACTGCTTGAAAAGTTACAAGTCTGTTGAATTTTGATAATCCAAAAAATTCACAGATACAAGTACAAATATGTTTAGAATCATTTCGATCTCTAAGGGATCAAAGTTGTTTCCTGAAACAATAAGAAGGGAATCTGTTATGTTTATCACATAATAAATGCAAACACTGTAAGACCGAGCAAACTGTTTTGTTGAAGATTTTTCTGTTGCCATCTACTGTTGTAAGTAAAGGATTGTTCTACATCCTTTTATGTAATCTGCAATGAACAGGAGTTCTGTCCATTGGTGTATAAGGGCCAGTATGCTATATAGCCCACAGACTAAGTCCAGCTTGACACCTGTTTTTGTACGTCCTGCAAACGAAGAATATCTTTCATATTTTCAATAGTTAAAAAAGAATACTTTGTGACTCATGAAAGTGATATGGAATTCAGTATCCATAAATAATGTTCTTCTGGAACCCAGCTATACTCATCCATGCATGTGTTATTTTGGAGGCTGATATAGCTTGACCTTTTATAGTCCCCCAGAGTTCCATGTGTTAAAACCTTGCTCCTCAGGCGACATTGTTGGGAAGTGATGGAACCTTTGGGTTGTGAATGGGGCTTAGTAGACCTCTGGTCACTGAAGCATATGCCTGAAGGGCACTGTGGGCTCTTGGGGCCCCTTCTTCATGCTCTATTTTTGATCCCTGGTCAGCAGCGAGCATTTCCTCTGTTATACACTTTGCCTGTGACATGCTGCTTCACCACAGACCCAAATAAATATACCCAGACTGGAACTTCCTTCCTAAACTGGGAGGCAAAATGAACTTTTCCCTTTGCAACTTGACCATCATCTTTGGTATTTGTTATAGTCACTGTGCACTGTCAAACACACTAACTTTTGTGCTACAGTGACAGAGTTGAGAAGACCTTGTAGCTTGGAGGGTCTGGAATTTTTATTACTGACTCTTTCCATTGAAAAATGTATTAAATTTTACTGTTACACAGATAAGTATGTTTATTTATTTAAGAATATGAATGGCCCATGGCATGATGTATTTTGGGGAGGAATCATTGATTTTAAGCACAGACAGCAGTGCAGTTGTGAAAAACAGGACAGTTTTTAGAAGGCTGGAAGATCCATGCTGAGATGAACACTGTGGGAGGGAGATGACCCTTGGGATATAGTTGGGAAGACTCACGGCATACATTTAAAAATTTGAATGTTACTAGCACATTGTTCTGTAAAAGTATTTTCACTCCCTAGCAGTGTATGCAAATGCCTTCGAATTTTACTAATATGAAAACAATTTCAAGTCTGATGGGTGGCAAATAATTCAGTTTTTTTTTTTCCTTCCAACACTGGGGTTTGAACTCAGGGCTTTGAGCTTGCTAGGTACATGCTCTACCCTTGAACCACACTTTGGTCCCTTTTTACTTTGGTTCTTTTTGAGATGGTTTCTCACTTTTTTTTCAGGTTGGCCTAGACTATGATCTTCCTAGTTACAGTTCCCAGTGTTGTTGGAATAACAGTCATGCATCATCATGCCCAGATTTATTTATTTATTTATTGCTAGTCCTGGGGCTTGAACTCAGGGCCTGGGCCCTAGTCCTGAGCCTCACTGTGCTTAAGGCTAGAGCTCTACCACTTGAGCCACAGCGCCACTTCTGGCTTTTTCTGTGTATGTGGTACTGAGGAATCGAACCCAGGGCTTCCTTCACACTAGGCAAGCACGCTACCACTAAGCCACATTCCCAGCCCCATTGCCAAGATGTTTTGTTATTGTTGTTGAGATCAAGTTTTGAGAACTTTTTTTTGCCTGAACTGGTTTCAAATTACTGGTCTCTTGACCTCTACCTCCTGAGTAGCTGTGATCATAAATACAAAGCTACCATGCCCAGCCTCAACCTGGGCAAAAGTATGAAACTCTATCTGAAAATAACTAAAAATATGGTTTAGGGGAATGGATCAAGTGGTAGAACACCTGCCCTGCAAGCACAAGATCCCGAGGTCAGCCCTTCTACCCTCAGAACAAATATAACTTTAACTCATGAGGACAGAGAACCAGACAAATGTCATGAGTTGTTCAAAAGAGATGTCAAAGACAAATTTATATGAAGTAAAGGAATTTTGAAACCCACTTATTAAGTGACCCAAAGCTGGCTTTTTCTATGAGAGGTGACGATGGAAGAGGAGAATGAGGTAGAGTCTATTTAACCAAGTTTCTATTCTTGCAATAATTATTTGCATTGCTCCAAGTTATGTACAACTTAGAGTGGTAAAATAACTCCTAGAGCTCAGTGCCACGTGGCTCATGCCTGTACTTGTAGCTACTCAGAAGGCTGAGATCTGAGGATCACAGTTCAAAGCCAGCCCAGGCAGGAAAGTCCAAGAGACTCTTATCTCCACTTAACCACCAAAAAGCTGGAAGTGAGGCTGTGACTCAAGTGGTAGATTTCTACCCTTAATAACAAAAGCTCAAGGATAGTGCCCAAGTCCTGAGTTCAAGCCCCAGGACCAGCACACACACACACACACACACACACATGACTCCTAAACACAAACTCCATAAAAGCTGAGAAATCTAGAAAAGTTTTCTGTAAGAACACACAGGTTTACATTAGACACAGTTATCTTTTGTTGCTTATTCCATTCTTGTAGCTGAACTACAAGAATGGTTCCAGGGTTATTGATTGACTCTGGGAGAATCAAAAGAAAGGAGAGCTAGAGCAGAAAGCCTGAATGCACACATGCAAGGAAGATGCTGGAAGAAGTTCTAATGATCTGTTCTAGGAATGGGATCTGACATTTGCTCCCACTGTCCAGAGTAACATTGATTTATGCAGTTCCCCTATAGACCACTAGGTGATGCTAAGCAGGCATGATGACCTGTGGCCGAAGGGGTGGGAGTGGCAACATGGAATCAATCAGTGGTTCAGTTGAGTCATATATCTGGGAAGTCCCTTCTTTACTTCTGCATCTATTACAGGGAATGCACAGTTAAGCACTCATTAATATGTTTCTCAAAATGAAAATTTCTGAACAGAGACAGAGATGTCATACTGTGGGCATCAAAAACAACCATGTGTTTGTTCTGTGAAGGTTCTTTAAAGCCTTCTGACCATGCTAAGACAGAGGGAGAGAACATTTCAAGTCAGAAGTCAGCTGGCCAATTAAACAAAAGGAGATAACTTTAGCCATTAAATGAGATTTGGAAACCTATGAGCAGGGTTTCCCACAGCCTGTACCTAGCTGACATACTTGTTCAAATGCAGGAACATAAATCATCCCAGCCATTTAAATTTTGTTCCACAGCCATCAAAGACAGATTCTTGAACTTCCTCTTTGACCTTTCTCACAATTTCTAATTAATTTTTGATGCAATGGGGAATAGAAGGCAAGCCATCTATATTTTAATGCAATCTATATTAGGATTAAATGAACTAAAAAATGGAAATATGGTTGGAAAAACAGTGGCCACAGAAGCCTGAGACCTGGTGACTGAAAACTTCTGAGATAATTTCATCTTGGTGCCTCAAGAGTGAGGGCTTGCTTCCTGAGACCCCATAGCTGCTCGTTCCTATCCATCTACAGACCCGAATCTCCTTTTCCTCCAAGTTTGTAAGCCATTCTATTCTTTTTCAATAAATTCCCATTTGCCTTTCTTAGCCAAAGTTGGTTTCTGTTGCTTGCAAGTAAAAAACACTGTATGGTCTCATGAGAAAAGGGAACTAGTCAGTAATCTAGTCCTTTGATTACTTGTAGACTAGATTCTGTAATCTCTTTGAGAAGGATCAGCCCTAGGAGAATTGAGGCTTGCCTCAATTAGATAAGAGTATAGAAACAACAATAGAAATGACTCTTAAAAGTCATTTCTTATGTTTCAGACAATGGTGTAAGCACTAACCTGTATTATCTTCAGAATAATCCTATTGGAAAGTTGTTATCATCCAGAAAGCAGAGCCACACAAGGATTAAGTAATGTTCCCATTTTCACGTGGTCAGAGTAATAGTTCTCAAAGTTTATTCTATAGAATAGTTTAGCTTTACAAAATAGGATTTGTGTCTAGAGCTGCCCAAACTAAGTAGGTGGCTTAAAACAAGAGAAATTTATTGCTGAGAGCTTCAAGGAGTATAAGTGAACAGGACTCCACTCTCTATGTGACTCTAAAGAGAATCCTTGCTGGCCTTTTCCAGCCTCAGAGTTATACTTGTATCCTTAACTTGTAAACTCATAACCACAATGTTGCCTTTGCCATCACACAACTATTTGCTCCCTATGTGTTTCTCCTTTCCTTGTAAGAACAGTCATATTGGATATAGTGCTCATCTGCTTCAGGAGGGCCTCATTTCTACTCTACTGCTAATACTTACCACGATCCTATTTCCAAATCTATCTTATTCAGAGGCACTGGGGAGTTTGGACTTCATTTTTGGAAGACATAATTCAATTTATAACAAATATGTTCATAGAAATTGTTTAATATAATTCTGTGATCAAATAAATTTGATAACCATTGTATGTCTGTCTTTCTGTAGTGCTTAGTTGGTGTGTGTGTGTGTGTGTGTATGTTTCAAATAGAGAGAGAGAAATATATAAGAAGAGTCTCCAAGCCCAAATTACAATACACAGTTTATGAAGCATGTTTGATCACAAAGATTTCTTTTTCTAGGCCAACTGCATCATTTATGTTCGGTGGAAGGCAGATCTGAGCCACCAGTGCCTGAATTTTGGCATTTTCTTAAGCATTTTTGGGATGTCAAAGATAACTTCTAAACAGGACTGTTTCCTTCAATAAAAGCTTGTTTAACTTTCCTTTCTTTTTATCATTTTTTTCTGTCTAGAAGGCTTTTATTCATGGTAATAAAAATTTACCTTAGGTAAATGTTCAACCACGGTACTTTCAATGTCTCTAGCATTAGTAAAGTTTGGACTGTTTGGTTCTACAGTTCCTTATTCTGATCGTTGGCCTCAGTGAGGGGAAGAGGATGTGATCATGCGATCTCCAGCAGAAGGGAAATTATGAAAGAGATCTCACCATGAAAAGGGCAGCCCACAACCACTTGGCTCCCAGAAGAGGCTGAGCTTCTGAGAGGACGTGTCAGAGCAAGTATTTGTTTCTCCATCCATCCATCCAGCATGGAACCAAAGCGGATCAGGGAGGGCTACCTTGTGAAGAAGGTCAGTTTGGATGAGAGCTATTAGGTAGAGTGTTGCAGCATGTGGAATGCTGAGGTTGGGCAAATTACTGTAATGTGGGGTAGGCTTCAACACAGCTTGATCTGTGGGTCTGAGAATTCCAGACTGCAGAGTCTGGAGGGTGGTGAACCAGAGTACACTCACAAATGTGCTCAAACTCTACTGTGACAGAGATTACTTAGAGACACCCTTCATATGTTTATTTAAATTGTACTCCCCTGTGGATTTTTACTTTGGAAAGGGTGATTAAAATGTGATGATAAATAATATAGTAAATGTAGCTTATTTCTTGGGCTATCTCCTTTCTTCTTTTTGCTTTCCTTTTTTTTTTGGTTTAATTGGACTGAAATCTCTTTTTTTTCATGTTCAGTAAACATTTTATTTTTTTGCAATGTTGGTGATTAAACCCAGGACTTTATACATGTTAGACAAACCTGTTACCACTGAGCCACATCCTCAGCACTTTAAATGTTTTAAACTTGTCACTGTATGAATTCATGGATATAGAACACCCTGATATGGAAAGCCACCCTTATATTGCTGATGGATATAGACACATGTATTAAAAATTACGAAGAATTGTGTAGAGAAGATAATTTCTCCAAATGGAGAATGGTGATTACTCATGGAGAAGCTGAGAGAAAGGAGTATGATAGGAATACAGTAGCATCTGCAACTATATATGTCATGTTTTGTTTCATAAGTAGAGTGGTAGACATACAGTTTACGAAATAAAGTATTATCTATATTTTATCTAAATGTATCATTTAAATACATTTAAATATCTTATTTAAATATGATCATTCTTTTCTTTGAAAACATTTTCATTGTTATTATAAAGGTGAAGTACAGAGGAGTAGCAGTTATATAAGTCAGGTAATAAGTACATTTCTTTTTGGACAATGTCACTCCTGCCTTTGCTCTCTCTCAGTTTTCCCCTCCTATTTCACTTACAAGTCATATAGTTCATTTTCAACATAGTGTCTAGTGAGTATTACTGCTGCATTTGTTCACCCTGTGTCCCTCCATTTCTGTGATTGCTCTTACCCTCTCAAAGACAGACAAGACAAAAAGAAAAACAAAAACAAAAACAGCAACAAAAATCTTCTTATTTCCATATCCTGGGGTTCATTTCCATATATATTATTTTGTATGATCAGATGCACATAAGCACTGTGCCTTTGTGTTCCTCTCCGAACAATATTCTCCTTTGGTCTAACTGTGTGTGAATGCCTAGAGTTGAAATCTTTTTTACTCACAACTCTTAGTGAATTTGTATAACAGACCACTAAGTGGCAGAGGTACCATTTACAGAGTGGGAAATAAGGATCCATGTATCCTCAAAAATGGTTAGTCTCATGGATGTGGTGTCAGGATGATTGAATTGTGTGAATGCTGGTCTCTGCTGATGCTGGGTGTGTTGAGTGGGTGTGAAACAACTCAGCCCAGTAAGTTTACACGTAGGGTGTGTTGGCTTCCTGTGGCCAACCCTTATATTCACAAGCACACTCATACCAAGCCAAGAGAATCTAGCCTTTACAAGTCAACAGACTCAAGGTCATTCTTTCCCATGCCTAGCTTTTAAATTGAATAAACAGCGAATGTGCCTCTGTATTAGGCCACCTCTCTGTTTCCCATGTTGGTCTCACATGTTCTATTTTTAAAGGGCTTGCACATTGCTACCTGAATCCACTTTTATTTCAGGCTGGTAAAGACCTGGATCATCTAGCCTAACTTCCCCATTGTCACAAAAGGAGCCCAAGTCTCTAGATCACACGGCTGTGGCAGAGTTTGGGGTCAGAAACATGCTCTCTGATTTCTCTATTGTACTTTGTTCAGTACCCCAGGATTATCCTAAAGCCAGCTTAGTCTAAGTTAGTGTCTGTAATATACACAATGTGGTAAAAGTTATGAGTTGGTGTTGAGGATAAACGTGCTTCATCAGGTTCTCTCTGTCTAGCTGTACTTTTATGAAAGATCCCTTGGGAAAGACCAGGTATGCACTTGAAGGTTAAGGGAGGAGGAGGAGCCTAAGAAAACAAGAGAAGGGAGATATTGTCTTCACTTTGTTTAATACAATAAAAAATCTTGCAATGAAAATCGCTTTTATGAAGCTTGTATGCTCACACTTAAACTTTCCTAAATTACAAGAGTGCACATGTTTTCGTCAAGTGCACATTTTTTCATCTTCCAACAAGTGAGTCTGTTTCATTAGATATTAGAGATCAGGAGTTTGAAGTGTGTGGGTTCCAATGAATAGTTTTAATTAATAGAAGTCATTATTCAGAGTATATCCTGTAATTCCAATCTAAAAAATGTGCCTGTGAAACAACTGAAATTTTATGTCATTTTCAAATTTTCTTCCACAATTCTTATATTTATAATTTCCATCTTCTACATTTTTGTTTTTCATTTTTTCCCCTCTGTGATCACTTGTTCTCTGTTGTCTATGTTAAGAACTCTAATTGGCATTTTCACTGTGTTAATTTTTTTTGTATTTTCAGAATCAAACCCAGGGTCATATATATGGTAGGAAAGTGCTGTACCTCTCAATTCTACCCCTCAGCCCTCTAATTTGACACCTTCAAGAAATGCCTGGTTCAAAACTATACCCTTTGTCAGCTGCAGAACTAAACCTGAATCTAGAATTTTCCAACTAGGTGTGAAGTTCATATATATGTATAATAGCATTTTTTATATTTTTAAAATATTTTAATGACTTTTTTCTTTATGTAGTACTGAGAAATCGAACTTAAGGCCTCCTACAAGCTAGGCAAGCACTCTACCACTAAACCACATTCCCAGCCAGGTGTAAAGGTCTTAACTCTGGATGTTAGATTCCTTTCAAGCTGTCTACGTCAAACCTAGCACACAGTAGGTGTTACATAAGTGACAACGGCTATCCATGTTGGCAGGAATAATGAATTATGTCCTAAGTACTAATGGGCATAGATACTGTTTCCTCGATTGGTTGTCAAGTTAGTCAGGAAGAAAGAACCATGGGTTTTCTGGTTATTAGATTAAAGCATGGCAAGCAATAACACTGAGTTTCCCTCCATTCAGCATTTACTCTTATGTATTTTAAGAGTGGGAACAAAGGACAACTTTGCTTTCTATGTCTTTTATCCTGGGGTTTGAACTCAGGGCCTGGGGCAAAGTCCCTGAGATTTCTCTGTTCAAGGCTAGTACTCTACCACTTGAGTCCCAGCCCCACTTCTGGACCTTTTTGAGCAGTTTATTGGCAATGAGAGTTTCGTGGGCTTTCCTGCCTGAGCTAGCTTCCAACTGCAATCTTTAGATTGCAGGATCCTGGGTAGCTGGGATTATAGGTGTGAGCCACTGGTGCTTGGCTCTATGGCTTTCTAAAAAATGGAAGCCTTTATTGGAGATATGATGTTTTGGGTGGGAAAAGTCTAACATTAAGGGATGGGAAGGGGAAACAAAGGAGGAGGCAACAATGTTTTTTCTTGGGGGGGTCTGGTCGTGGGGCCTGAACTCTGGGCCTGGGTGCTGTCCCTCAGCTCTTCAGCTCAAAGCTAGCACTCTACCACTTGAGCCACAGTGCCACTTCTGGCTTTTTTCTTTTTGCTTATGTGGTGCTGAGGAATCTAACCCAGGGCCTCATGCATGCAAGGCAAGCGCTCTACCACTGAGCCACCTTCCCAGCCCTGTACTCATTATCTTGTCTATGTAATTGTAACCCCTCTGTATGGTATTTTCACAATAAAAAAAGTCTAAGATTGAAAAATGCTGGTGCAGGGATTTTGTCAAGTCAGAAGCCTTGGAGCTGACAGTGGCATTAACTATACAAAGCTTTAGCTTTGCTTCTTGGGGAGGCGGCAGAGTTAACTGTCCACATTATATACTTCAAGTTTCCTCTTTTGCCTCCTGACTAAGATCTTTAAATAAAGATCATGGTTAACATGGGGAGGAAAAATGTGATTCTGCCATTTTCCAATGTTATCATCCTACAATTTGCTCATATCTTGAGTCAGAGCCTTGTCACCTTGATTTTTAAGTGCATTTAGAGCCCACCAACTGTGACCCCAATGAATCACCCTGTGTGACTCCCATAATACTGATGAGAAAACTGAGGCCCAGAGAGAATGAGTGACTAGCTCACTATCCAAGAGCTGGTGAGATGTCAACTTGGGGCTTAAAATCTCACAAAACACATGTTTACCCAAGCTGGCAAAGGTGTGTGTGTGTGTGTGTGTGTGTGTGTGTGTGTGTGTGTGTGTGTGTGTGTGTGTGTGAAGGACTCACTGTGACCAAAGCAGGTCCAGGACAAGTTATATTGTGCAAAATTTCTCTGTAATTATGGATTTCTTTTCTAAGCAATAAACACTGTGGATGTTCTTAAATATATACTACGGAGTTGAAAATGTTTATAAATCAATCCTTTAAAAAGAGAGAGAGAGAAGAGAATGAATGTATTAAGTAACCTAGACTACTGTAAGTGACATCCCCCAATTCCTGGAGGTTTATGGAGCAAACTGCTTTTTTTTTTTTTTTTAAATAACCCACTCAGTAATCTAGGTATGGCAGGCCTGACCACAAGTGTGGCTATGTATATCCTGTGAGACTGGGGAAAAAAAGCACAGACATGAGGATTATGGGAAGAGAAGGGTAAGGAGGAAAACAGAAAACCAAAAGCTGTAGTAGAGGGTAGAAGTCTGGTACAAAAGCGAGAGGTGAAGAATTGGAAGCCAAGAATTCTTTCTTTCTTTCTTTGTTCCTTTCTTCGAGGCTGAAGCTTTGTTTATTTTTTTTACTTTAATTTAAACATGACTTTGTTTGAAAAACAGAAGCATGCATGCTGATGTCATGCTTATAAAGACAAACAAAGATATAATTTAGTTGGAAATCAACAACAATAATACAAGCAATAGCTCCAATGATATGTGAAAGAGTTTACAGGTGGGCATAGAGCATAGGGTTTTAATTTTAGAGAATAGTTAATTCAACTCAAGAGCAATACA